AGCTCATCCCGATGTTATACTCATCAAGAGGTTTCATTTAAGTACCCACATCAATTTTTCATATATATATATTATATATATGAATATATGAAAAATATATCAAAAATGCATGTAGGTACTCAAATGAAAGCTCTTGATGAGTGTAACATCGGGATGAGCTTATATCTTTAAAAACGTTGATCTCAAAAAGAGTTGATCTCTTTCTCTTGTAAAACTAAAAGATCAATAAAAAAAAGTTAAATTTCCAAAAAAATGAACGAAAAACTACTTAAAAAATTAAAAGTTTCACTTTTTATTTTTATTAAACAGTCTTGCAATTTATTATATATAGTTAATTTTTTATAACACTGAATTTAACAAAAATCTGTTAATTTTTTTAACTATAAAAAAATTTTAATTAAAAAATTATCTCTAGAAATTAAAAAAACATTACTGGTGCAAATTTTTTTTAAATATTTTTTTTATAAGTAATTTGTAATAAAAATAAAAAAATTTAGTATTATCATTTTTTTTTCATATTATTGATTATATGATTATTGATTAATAAATCATATTACATTAAAATTTAAGGTGATGTGCGTGCAATATTGGCCAGCAAACAAAGACAAGGATGAAGAATACGGCGGAATTTGTGTATCAGTACTAAAAGAAGAGGAATTGGCAAATTTTCATATACGAACGATAAAACTGTACAAAAAAAACGCAAACGAGGAAATAACGGAAGAAAGAACGCTGCTACAATTCCACTACACTGAATGGCACTCACACACGTGTCCGTTTAGCAACGCGGTATTAGAATTCCGCAGACGTGTCCGGGCAGTCGTTGGGTCTACTATCAAAAACGAGTCAGGTCCAATGGTGGTTCACTGCAAGTAAGTACATTAATCGTCCAAATATACATAATCCATATTCTATATTGTATATTTTATGGTGTATATTACACAGTGGTCTACCAACAGGAAGTAATATAAGATAAAATTAATTAATCTTTCAGTGCTTACCTTCTGGTATACAGAATACTATCCTGCTCTCATGTTCACTGTGGGTTTACTTTAAATTAGTTTATAAATAGGCGGAAGTGTTAAATAATATTGTTCCGTGATAATGTTAATTACCATTTTAATTAATTTTCTGGCAACGACAGACCGGTTGTTCAATTCGAGGTGAATTATTTAACGAAACTATTAATTATTGTTACTTCGAGCCAATTATTTCTGACTTTTTTATTTTAAATTAATTATTAATTAAAAGTTTTTTTGATTTTTAACATTAAAACTTTAATTTAATTAATATTACAAAAAAAAAATTTTTTTTTTAAGTTTAAGTTGCAAAAAATTTAAATTATAAAATTATATAAATTTTTTTTTTTTTCAATATTTTCAATGTCATTTTTTTAATGGAATTTTATTAAAATTTATACAAGTTTTTAATTTAAAATATTGTCCTCTCATTCCTGCAATAAAAAAAAAAATTAACTTGAAAGAAAAAAATTCTTGAATCAAAAACATCATTCTTAATGAAAACGAAGTTAGCTGACATTTCAAAATTTTTATAAATTTTTTATCGAAAAAAATTCAATTAAACAATTAAAAAAAAAATATATCATACGTTAAAAACTTGAAAACTATAAGTGCAATTTTTTATAAATTTTTTTTTGGTTGTAATTTAATTAAAAAAAAAAATCAAAAATTTTTAGACGTCTGCTAACTTCAGTGTCATCATTCTTAAGAGCTTTATCTTTAATCAAGTAGAAAAATATTTTTAAACTGAGAAATTTGTATGAATAAAGCAAATTTTTTATTTACTTAATTTTATTTAAAGATTTTTTTGTCTTGAATCAATTTAATTTTTTTTATTAAAATATGAACAGTTATCAATTCTGAATTTTTACTGTAAATTCTTTGAAGCAAAATCTTCTTGTAAACAAATTTTCACTTCTTTTTTTTTAATTGTTTTCAATAAAAAAAATACTTTTTATAAATCTTGAATCATAAATCATATTTTAAAAACTCGCTCATCATCCAAAATCTAGAACGGAATTTCCCCGTATGATTAAAGTCTTCTATAATATCTTCCAAGTTATGCCAAATATAATCTCGAAAATTCCAAGATTATTAAATTAAGCACGCTTCTAATAAACTTGAGTTATTCGACAAATTCCCAAAAGATTTTTCAAAGTTAATAAAACTTTACCAAAAATTAAAAAAATCCTAAAACATATTTAATTAAATAATTACATAAATTTGGTTATAAAATATAATAAATAAAAAAATATTGAAACTCTATTTAAGCCAGCAATATATGTATAATATTGCCAATAAATTAATATCAAATTATAAACTAATTAAAATAAAATAAAAAATTTCTTGAAACTTTTTTAATAATTTATTTCTATTTTTCCTCAGCGACGGCGGTGGACGGTCTGGAGTGTATCTCGCCATAGACGCGAATATGGAGCTCGCCGAAGAGGAGGACACTTTTGACGTCTTCGGATATCTGAAGAAACTCCGTCAAAGTAGGCGGGGGCTGATAGAAAGTTTGGTAAGAAACTAAAATCAATTTTATTTCTCCTTTATTTCTGGATAACTTTTTTTACAAAAACTCGTCGGTATACATTGCATTATCTCAGCTTTTATAGAACCGCTCTGGCATAAAGTTTATACCCGCAATGTCCTACAATAAACTTAAACCAGTGTAAAATAATCCAGAACACTGTTTCAAATTTTTTATGCTCTGAAATAATTTATTGGTTTTTTTTATTTATTTTTAATCTTGCTGTATACTTCACCAGGACCAATATAAATTCGTGTACGACACCCTCGAGGAGTTTGTTATATGCGGAGCATCGTGGTTTCCAGTCTCTGAGCTTTCTCAGCGGTTAAAGCAGAAGAGCGTGAAGAATCCAATAACTAAGATGAACGAGTATCAACGAGAGTATCAACAGATTTGCAAGCAAACACCTCGATTTACGATTGGTGATTGCGCTGGTGGGCATCGTGCTGACAACAGGGAAAAAAATCGTGATGTTTTAGTTGTTCCACGTGAGTGATTATTTATTATTATTATTTTTTCATTGAAAGTTTTTAATACTAATAATAATAATAAATTTAAAAAAAATATTACAATCATGAATAATTATTATTTATATTATTAAGAGAATAAGTAAAATTTTGTGGCTAATTTTCACCTATAGTCAATTTATGATGATGTATTTAGGCTGCATTTGGAAATGCTCTGTTTTTAGATACATAATTAAGAAATGACCTTGTATCTCGTGAACTATTGACATTTTTAAAGATATAAGCTCATCCCGACATTACACTCATCAAGACCTTTCATTTAAGTACCCACATGCACTTTTCATATATTTTATAAATATCATATATATGAAATATACAAAATATATGAAAAATGCATGTGGGTACTCAAATGAAAGCTGTTGATGAGTGTAACATCGGGATGAGCTTATACCTTGAAAAACATCAAGAGTTAAGAAAGTACAGTACAATTTAACGAAATTCATTATTTAATAAAGCAAAATT